CACACCAGGAAAGCCCTCAGAACTCCTCCAGCACTGCGAAATGATCATCAAAGCCACTGAAATGGAAGGGGGTGTTTAAACGTAACACTGGTTTTCTTACAGCATGGATAAGGCACGGTGTGAGAATGCTGCTCCCACGGCCAGCCCCACAGCCACACTCGGCGCCCCACACGCACACACGCACACAGACGAGGCCAGCGGAGGTTGCCACAATGCCCAGGAATGGATCGCTGCCGACCGATCACTTCTGGTTTTTGAGCTGGTTGGAGAGCCAGTCCAGGCCTTCGTAAAGCCCATCTCCACTGGTGGCACAAGTAGCCTGAATGTACCAGTTTCTCTGGCGGAGGGAATGTAAGCCGAGCTTGTCTGTTATCTCCGCTGCATTCATAGCATTGGGCAGGTCCTTCAAAGAGAATATTCGCAAATCAGTTCACGCTGTTGCGTCCACGTAAGGACAGACCACACTCCGCCCTCAAAGCCTGCCCCAACCCCCCATCTCCCCTATCTCCGTTGACAGCAACTCTACCCCCTACCACCCCACCCCCAGGTGCCTGGACCCAAAACCCTGCATTTCTCTGTCTCAAACCCTGCAGTCAAACTGTCAGGAAGTCCTAATGGCTCCACCTTCAGAATGGATGCAGAATCTGACCCCTTCTCACCACCTCCACAGCCACCATCCCGACCTGACCACTGTCACTCCTCATCTGCAAGCACTTCCCGGCTGGTCTCCCTGCTCCAATACTGCCCGAAAGCCTCTTCTCACCCCAGCTGTCTGTCGAGTCAGACCAAGGCATCCTTTAACCGAAACCCTACACCCACTCCCACTCCCTCAGGAAGAGCCAGAGTCCTGCATCACATCCTGACCCGTGACCTCTCTCACCTCCCTCTTTCTCTAGCACTCACCACATTTCACTGTATTCTATCCTATACTTAGTATGTTTGCTATTTACGATCTGTCACCTCCAACTAGACAGTAAGCTTGACGAGAGCGGGAATCTTTCTCTCTTGTTCTCTAGTGTATCCCAACTGCCTAGAACCTGGTACACGTAAACACAGACTGATTGGAATGGATCAGTGTGAAACAACAAGGGGGATCTCGATGTACTGACGTAGAAGGCCATCCAAAAGACGCCAAGGGAAAGAGCTGGCTGCCAGAGGAGCATGCAGTCTGCGCCCCCAAATTTAAGGATGTACACAATCTGGTACATGCTTAAATAAGCACAGAAAGTTTCATTTCTGGAAA